CCCTAACCTTATGCACGATGTCATACCCTACTAACTCTCACACAAGCCTTAAACAAAGGCTTGATCATGTTTGCTACAATCAAACTAAGTGTAGTCCTCAACCCAAACAGTAGTCCAAGATCTAACCCGAACCCTTAACCACACCAACCATGCCCTACTAAAATCACATTAATCCTATCAACAGTCCTAGACCTACCCATAATCTTACCTACAAAGCCATTCCCTACCCATAACGAAGTACTAACACTAACCCAAGCCCTTGCCATTATATAAACAAAAACTAAATCCATAACCAACCATAATATAGCCCTCGTCATTCAAACACTGACCATAACCACAGTCTTCAATGCATTGTTTAAAATTGTATTCAAATGTTAATGAAAAATACATCCAATTGTGCACGCAATAATTTATGTTTTACTATTGTGGAAAATTAGGTGAAAACCAATATAAATTTCATGAACATGATATGAAATTACAGGAAAAATTTTAACTCGAATTATATGCTACATTTATGCTAATGGGACTGATAATGTAGTACAAATGAGAAACAACGCAAACGACAAAGTATGAACGATTTGAAGATAACAAATTCATGAATCGGATTGGGACCGCAAATGGTGAAAATTCATCGAATCGTGGTGGTGGCGGTGGAGCTCGCGTCATGGGGAGAAGGATCAAGTCTGGCTTTAAACCCAAAAAAATCTGTATCATCAACCCCAGCCTTAGCCCTAACCCTAGCTCTAACCTTCACCCTAATCCTTAGCTACAGCAGAGTGGTTTCGATTGTGAATCAATGCCTACGCTAAAGAACAGGGCTCCAAATAAGACATTGATCTCCATTACTTTCTTTTCACAGTGTCACCGTGTCTCACCACATTGCACCTGTGGCATTGGGGCGGGGGCATATGCTTGCATGTTTAACATTAAACCTAGAGATACTGAAAGAGGAACGCATGGATCAGAGAACAGACAAGTTAGAGATGTCATATTGACTGCTAAGAATAGTAGGTGTACTGGGACAGGACACGTGGCTAGAAGGGATGACGGCCGGTGATTGAGACTAATAACAAAGTAGCAGCTCAAAGAGGGAAGACGGAAAAAAGAATGTCCACCGCGGACTGACCAGCATGGTGAAATATGGTCAAGATTCCCCTTACGACCTGCACTGCCTGGGAGAGGCCCTTATTCAACCCTGTCGCAGCCTATGACAACCTGCATGAGGGTCACTCATTCAAGCACTAGCCAGGCTCAACCCTGCTGAGTTGTCAAGATCCCATAAGATCTGGCACATTCCAGGTGATTTTGTCGTACACGAAATATACTGTTTACACTCTGCACACTGCATATATATAGACGGCACACGAGAGGACGACCACTGCGGAAATGGAGCGATAAGAGCAGTTCATGTGCAGGAGTCAGAAGGAGTGTGAGATCGCAGGACCGTGAGGAGTGGAGACAAAGTGGGGAGGCCTTCATCCAATCCTTGATATACCATGGCTCATGATTATGATCGGAGTGGAATGGTTCACTATGCTGGTGTATTAATTCTCACATTTCAAGATCGTATTCCGATTCAAAATCCTACTCTTTATTTAACATTGTATCACATGGTAGCACCTCTAATGGCGCCAGGGGTGACATTAACTCATTACATACAATATACACAATTAAAAAAAACATACAATCATTGTTCATGAAGTGATGCATTGCTGCACCATTCACGCAGCAACATCAAGAAATAATTTACAACGGTGAGCGAACCAGTGCAAGCCACCCTCTTCACCAACATGCACTGACCAGCATAGTGAAGTATGGTAAAAAATTTTCGATTTAAAGCTTTCGTGACTGCAGGGAATCATCTTCTTGGTTCTTTCGGTAAAGTCACGTAGAAGGGAAGTAATAAAATAATAATATGGTCAAAAAAGTCTAATGACCAACATGGCATGGGAGAAACCTTCATCCAGCCATGAATTGACAAAAAGCTGTAGATTATTATTATCGTTGTCATCCAGCGTGCTTCTTTATAATGAATAAACGCAACACAAGAGTGCGACGCTGTGCTACGCGGAGGCACACACACACACACACAAGTATTGTCAACGTGTAGTGGGCGACCCCACCACACGCGCTGACACAGGGGCCCACTCTCTCTCTTCTCTCATCCGCTCACTCGAAATCTCTTTGCTTCTCTCTCACATCCCAAATTCCATAGCTCTCTCGTTTTGTCTCATTTCCCGAAACACTCTCTCCCATGTCTCTCTCCTTCTCTCCCGTCTCTCTGGCTCTCTCTACCCCCCCCCCCCTCAGCCCAGTTTCAGCGCACGCCGGCACGCGCCGCGTGGCGGCGGCGGCAGAATGAAAATCCTCGCACCCCTGCGCACAATCCCTTCGTTTGCATGATAAAACCCGGGTGCGCGCGCGTGTTCCTGCAAGCCTGGCGATAATTTGACGCCTCGTCTCTCTGGTCCCCCGCGACACGGCTTACGGCTACCAAACGCCTCCATCGCACACACCGTCCCCCCCCCCCCCCCAGCACACAGCTCCCACACCACACCACCCCTCCTGTGGAGCCACGCTCTGCGGCACGCCCCACCTTCTTATTTCAAACAAGCCTGCTCACAGCCGCTGCTGCCTACCCCCCCCCTGCTCAACTTCTCATTCGTGCCCCCCACAGGCCAAGAAACCTCTGACGTGGCCCCCCAACAATACGTCTGGCATGAACCAGCACTCAACTCATTGCCATGAGCGATTGTTTCCTGAAGCATGACACTGCTCTCCTCATCCTGCTGATCGCGGTCAGTCCGAACATCTGACCTCTTCCTCCTCCTCATCCTGCTCCTACTTCCAGTGACAAGCACGTGTCTCCCTCACTGCTTCTTACAGCCCCTCCCCCCGCCGCACCCGTGCCCGACTCTCCCACCCTTCGAAGTGGCGTGCATCTCCCCTGAGAGCGAGGCAAGCAAGCAAGCTCCCTTTTCCATCTCTTTCCCGTTTGCGCTGGCTAAGGTCTTATAAGCCCTGACACACAATCCCCTTCCCTGCCCAAAAACAAAAGCCCGCTGAAAATTCGTCCTTGCACCCCCTCCGCACCCCTCCCATTGGGTGAAGGCAATGAATATGGAACGCTTAGGTAACAGCTCGGCACAGATGGATTTGATGTTTTTTTTCTTATTCTTTTCACGTGAGCGTGTATGTGTGTGTACGTGCGAGCGTTTGCTTTTTTTATTTTCTCCGTCTCTCGCGTGCTCTCTCTCTCTCTTTTGGCCATGGCTGGTTATCTCTAAGCAGCCACTCGCTCCCAAATGTTTGTTATCAGCCAGCTTTGGCTACCCGCAGGATTACTAGCCGAGCCCAGAGATTAGAGGCATATCGCTCCTGAGGGACGGCGGGATAGATGTAGGGCAGATGTAGAGTGCTCCCGGAGGACGGTGGGGAATGGCGTGGAATTACTCCCGGGGACTGTGGGAACAACTGTACGGAACGCGCCACCCGCGGTCCCACGCCTTTGTGGGAATGAGGGGATGAGGGGGCACGCCCCCCCCCCCCCAACCCCCCCCCGAGCTGTCTGGATTTGAATAACGCACTCCCTCCGGCAGTGGTGAGCGAGTCGTTAGGTGCGAGTGTGTCAATGATGTGAGTGTGTGTCAAGCATGACGTGACTATGCCGCTGATGGGAGTGTGTTAAATGATGAAATCGTGTTCAACGATGGGAGTGTGTTAATTATCGGAGTGTGTCAATGATGTGAGCAGATCACCAATGGGCACGAGTAGCTGATGTGAGTGGTGTGCCATTGATGTGAGTGTGTCAACGATTGCTAAAGGGTGGTGCGTCATTCGTGCATGTCGCTCAAGTGAGTGATTCAATGGTACAAGTGTCACTGATGCTAAAATGTCACTAATGTGTCACCGTTGCGAGTGTGTTGCTAATGTAGGTGTATCACTGATGTGTAACCGATATTCAGTGATTCGTAGAGGTGACCGTATCGCTGACGGGAGCGTCGCTGACGCGAGCGTGTCAATTATTTTTGCATTTCGCTGTCACAAGCATGTATAACTGATTGTGAGCATCAGTGTGCGAAGTGTCGACGATGACATGTCACTGACGCGAGTGTGCAACTGCGGTGTGCCACCGACATGAGCGATTCGATGACGAAATGATCCTGATGTAAAGGCACGATCAATACAAGCGTGTCACTGATAACACACCGATGTCTCTGCAGCAAAATCGCTGATGCATGCATGTCACTGATGTGAGTGTGTCACTGCTGAGAGCATTTGATTGCTGCTGCTGCTGTTGCTGCGAGCACATTACTGCTGCTGATGTGAGTGTGTCACTGCTGCAGTGACTGCGTCGCATGATGCACATCCCCGTCGCATGATGAACATCCCGTCGCACCCTGCGATTTGCGCTTTCCTCTCTTAACATTTAAGTATCTCTATGTGTTTGTGAATTCCTCATGCGTCGGAGCGCTACTGACAGCTGCACTTCACGGTTTCTACTTGTGAAAAAAGAATCTGAATACATACAAAGAACAGCAACAAGACACATGGGTGAATTAGTCTGGCCATCATGTCACACTGAGGCCTATACCTCGGATCTTTGGACAATTCCATACTCACCATCATTTCATCCACTAGACAGCAGGTATTATCATCAGCTCTTGTCTATCCACTGCTGGATAAAAGTCTCACCGTGTCATTGCCATCCTCAATGGCAGGCTTACTTTTGTTAATGGTCAATATGATGTCTGATTTGTGTTTGTTCCCTGATCCGTGTGTTCCTCTTCTTGTCTCTCGCTGTAATTTTGAGCAGAAACGTTTCAGGTGCTTCTTTGCACACTTTTCAGCTTTTCTTCGACTCTCAATCCTCCAATGACTTTCTGAGTGTTGATTTAGCATTTGGGAGGAAAATCAGACTAACGGCACTTCCCCCAACAGTCTGTACAGCTACACGGGGATCTTTGTCTTTGTTGTTGAGGGTTGAACGGGAGACTCACCCAGCCGCTCAGCGAGACGCGAGTAGGTCGTGTCCACACGGCGCATGGTCTTCACCAGGTCCTTCTTGCGGAACTTAATCTCCACAGTACCCTCAGCCTCCAAAACTCCACCCCTGCCGCACACACACACACAGCGAGGCAAACATGTACAACACGAATAGGCATACACGTGCAGCCACATACACAATCATATAAATGGACAGGTGTACACATTCTAGATTTGAAGCTTTCGTGACTGCAAGGATTCATACTCTTAGTTATTTCGGTAAAGTCACGTAGGTAAAAAATGAAATTAAAATTTATTAAAATAAAACAATAAAATCACGACGTTTCGGAGGCAACACAAGTCTCCGTCATCAGGTGGGACCATCACAGCCAGATTTGCTGTGTACACATTCACAAGCATAAACCGGAAGAAAAAAATCCCCTGTATTGTATTAATAGACTGTAGGGGCAAGTGCTGTTAGCGATCACCTATGAAGGCCGGCACGGTACACATGGGGGTGGGTAACTAGCACCATGCCTGACCACCTTTGTCTCCCCAGTGGCGATCTTCACGCACTATACCAGGTACTCATTTCAGGCTGAGTCGACAAGCATACACACGGATACGCATGCACTTAGCAAATGCACGTATACATATCGAAATACTCGTGGACTGATACACAACAGAGACAAAGACCTTGTCCCGTATAGCCTTAACAGGCTGTTGAGGTAAGTTCTGTTAGCGAGCACCTATGAAAGTCAGCACAGTGCACGAGGGGGTGGTGTGGCTAGCACCACGACCGGCTGCTTTGTCTCACTGGTGTGGATGTTTACAACTGAATCATATTCTCATTTGAGGCTCAGTCGACCTAGATGAGGCTCAGGACCGGTTCAGATAATCGTCACTAACGTTGGCCATGAGCGGAATTCGAACTCGGGTCGGCGGGCTCATGGCGCAGTGCACGAACCACTTCGCTACCACTCCACACACACACACACTCATGCAAATTGACATACACACAGCCCCATAATAAAAATAATAAAGAAAAGTAGCCCACACTCACTCCCTCACACACCCCAATGACATCCACCCACACAGCCAAGAACACACATGCATACGCATAAGCACGCTCACAATTACACACACACACACACACCAACAGGCGCAGACACACACGAGCAAGCAGGCTTGAGTGTACAAGCAGCCGTAATATAAATACATGCATAAGTAAATAGGCAGACACATTGCCTATGCACATGCTGTCAATGTCATGATTAAGTATGCATGGGTCTCAAATGGGAAAAAAAACACAAACAATGCATATATCGTGTATCAAACTGTACGTCGTATATTTAGAGTTATGGCCCCTTTGACATCGCTCGCAATTAAAATTAAACGCAAACTGGAAAGAAATGTACACCTGGAGGCCCACGAGGTGAAGCAACGTTTACCGCTGCACGCTGCTCACCCGTGCTCAAAACTCCCAAAAACAAATTCAACGGGGCCCGGTCACACATGTGACTCTTGAGCTGGGGCCGTCTACATGAAGGCCGTGTGCAGTGATGGTGACGTCACGTGCCACCGCAAGACATGGTGGGGAGGACCGATATGATGGCCACAATCGTGCCTTTTATTGTCTAAAAAATCATCATTTGGGTGTCGTCATTAGAAGTCTTTGTCAATCCACTGCTTGTTGAAGACCTCTCAAAGTCACCTCCATCCTTTTGGTGAATTACACTTATCACTCTTTTATATTTTTCCATGCTTGCGTGCACTTTTTTGTTGGCTAATAAGTTTATTATCATATTCTTGGTTTTTTCAGTAAAGTCACGTAGAAGGGAAATAATAAAATAATACAAATATATAACAAAACTAAATTATCACGAAGTTTCGACTGCAACACAAGCAATCGTCATCAGGTGTGAAATCCACAGCAATAAATTTTTTTTTTTTCAAATTTTCTTGCTGTGGATTTCACACCTGATGATGATTGCTTGTGTTGCAGTCGAAACGTCGTGATAATTTTTTGTTGTTTTATATTTGTATTATTTTATTATTTCCCTTCTACGTGACTTTACCGAAAGAACCAATAATATGAATCCCTGCAGTCACGAAAGCTTTAAATCAAAGGTTATTATCGTTTACAGCAAACATAAGTAATCGATGCGTTGGTGCTCTCCAGTTAAAATATCCTGGGTTAAGTAAATTATAAATTGTTGATCTTGGTGTTGGATCACTTCCCTGACATCCCTCACAAACCTGTAGACCTCAAGCCATTTCACCATTGTGGGTGATAAGGCCAGAGACTGATACCAAGAGTAATACTATTAATATTGTGCCAGTTCCTTCTTTAAGGAGTGTTTTGCTTGTGGAAGGAAATGTGACTACCCATAGAAAACACAGCCATAAGACGGGATAAATTGTATAAGGTCTGCACAGATTGATTAAACACCCTATTTGCTGCCATACTATTTCCTGGCCATCTCAAAACCCAGAAATGTTTGAGTCTTTCACAAATCCTGCATGACCCACCGACCCTTGGCACCAAAAGCTCTGGATCACATGCGTGCGCCACCACACCCGGCATTTAAATCGGCTAAATCCCTGACCCAAGATGTGAGGGCATTGCCGAAACCCAGCTGCCCTCGCAGGTGGTGACGGAAATGGTGATGGTAGCGGTGGTGGTGGTTGTGGCCCTGACAGTGGTGGCTGTGGTAACAAGGGTGCATATACACGTGCACGTTCGTGACCCCGGGAGGGCAGGGTCGGATTAACAATAGCACAGTCCAAGCAGCTGCTGGAAGCGCGTAGCTTCATGAGCGCCCTCTACTGCCTCGCCGAAACAAATGAACGAATCCATATTTATTGTCTCGTTTATTAACAGCTCATTTGCGCCGTATATTGTATATTTTTATACTGTTTCGTGAATTTGAACTTACATTTGAATCTATGAACCGATGTATCGTTACTAGAGGTGGAATGATTATTTTCCCCAGATTCAATTAATTGTCTCGATTTGGAGTCTTAACTCAATTCAGAAGGTGATTATTATTATTATTTTAACACTGCGATCAACGTAAGCGCCTTCAATGGCCGCAGGAATGATGCAAACCCAGTACAGCACATATTCTTAGGTTTTTTCGGTAAAGTCACAGTAGGTAAAAAAAGTTAAAATTACTAAAAGTAAAATAAAAATAAAATAAAAATCACGACGTTTCGGAGGCAACACAAGCGTCCGTCTTCAGGTATCACTTGATACAGCAATCGTGCTGTGGCGGTTCCACCTGAAGACGGAGGCTTGTGTTGCCTCCGAAACGTCGTGATTTTTATTTTATTTTTATTTTACTTTTATTAATTTTTATTTTTTACCTACGTGACTTTACCGAAAAAACCTAAGAATATGAATCCTTGCAGTCACGAAAGCTTCAAATCTAGAATCAGTACAGCACATACAATATATATTTTTTCGTAGTTGCTCATAGACTGAAGTAGGCACCGGAGTACCACTTTACTAAGTAATAACAGCCATATGAAGAAGTAATACTGGATGTGGCATGCCGGGTGGAGGAATAGTTTCCAGGATGCCGACCCAGACAGAAGTGGGGGGGGGGGGGGGAAGGAAACTGACAACACGGACAGCGAGGGGGGGAAAGCAGTTCGTACCGGCTCTCGCGGTCGGCGTACATCTCCATGTGGCGTGGGTTGATGGTGGGGTCAATGACGACCCAAGAGCCGCCCCGGAGCTCTCCGTGCGGGGGGATGTACACGAACACAGGCTGCTTGTACTCGCGCAGCCCATCCACGATGTACGCGCCAAACTTCACGATCTGGTCGTACATGTCTGTGACGGTGGCGGTGGTGGACAGGAGGGGCAGGGCAGAGAGGGAACAAGCAAGGAAGTTAGCGTACAAGGAAACTTACAGGCATACAAAGACAAAGATACCTATTGTAGCCGTTACAGAATGGAGTAGAGTAGGCAAGTGCTGTTAGTAGGAATCTATTAAAGTCGGCACAGTACACGTCAGGGTGGTGTGGTCGGCACCTTTCTAGATTGTCTTCATCTCCCCAAAGCTGCTGTGTACATGGGACACACGGTACTATTTTTTAAGTTGAGTCGACCCAAGGGAGGCCCATGTTGGTTATGATATATTATTCCCCACTAATATGACAGTGGCTGGAAATCGAACCCAGCTAGCCGAGTTCATAGTTCGGTTCCCTCAACACTAAGTGCACGTATATTACGTCATGTATAATTGTATTGTTATCGATGAAGCATAAATAAGTCGCTGAAGAAACTCCCAGCACGTGGAGAAAACATTAGATATCATGCCGAACAACACGCGGTACAACCGGAAACCACACTATTAAGTTAGATAGCACAACCGCGAAAACCTACTCAGCAGAATCAATCAGAGACAAGTTTCAAAACCTAAGGAATAATAAGCAGGAAATATTTTCTTCTGCAGAGAAGATTAAAGGGGCACTTCACAAAGCCTCACATCCTGCGCTCGTAATAGGTGGAGCAGAGGACATTCAGCCAACATTTCTACTAAATAAGTTGTGGCAGTCTCCCTGCCCAATCGTTACAAAAAAAGCCAAATTTGAAACTTCAAATTGGCCAGACAGCGGTGCAGTCCCTTCCCAGCGTCAATGGATTACATTCCAAAGGCGTGCTGACGGACATTAGGGGAGAATTCATTTACTCTCTCTCTCTTGCTCCATGATGGGTGGTCAGATGAGCCAGCGAGGGGAGCCCTGGCATCATGGGGGGTTTGTATGAGCATTTGATGAGCCCGGGCACTGCCAGCCGAAAGCCAAGCCAGAAACGGGCACCCAGCGCCGTGCCGAGTGGCGCAAAAAAAATGCGGAAGATCGTGTTTCATCGTCTCCTTGGCAGTCGAGATTTTTATTTTTTTTGGCAGATAAAGAGATTTATGGGGTTCTTCTTTTTAAGGTGATATGCGTTGCGGTGCCACTTTGATGAGAAAATTGACTCTGATGCACAACCATCACATCTCGCGCAAGGCCCATTTCGACTCAATCAAATCGCAGACAGCGAAAACTGTTCAATCAAGTCGTGGCATATCTAACAGTATTTTAAGTGAGCAGAGAGAGGTGGGATGAGTGTCACAGTGGCTGGGGCGTGTGTATGAAACATCTGTCTCCTGGTCGACTCATACAGCTTGGTTAAAAGGGGACACGTACGCATTTGAAAACGACAGACGATTAATGGTGTTTGCCCACCGTTAACACTGTCAATTTTAACTATCGTCTCTTAATGGGAAAGAAAGGAAATTGTTGTTACGGTCAATAGAGCAGGCTCACGAAGAGGACAACATTTTTATTAAGGAATTGTCCAAATATTTTCACTGCAAGACACTGCTGAAAGATAGGCTTCAGGTCGAATGAAAGACATGTATTGTTTATAATGTGACTGGCTGGGTGGCACTGGAGTGTGAACCGAATATTATGGATGTTACGGTTCATTGATTCAATAATCAACATCGATTCTACTCTTCATGATGCAAGCATCGAATCTAATGCATACGGACTAACCAGCTACTGTTCATAACAATATAAAATAATATGCTAAATCTTACCTTTAAGCTAATAAACTGAGCAAACGAGATGGACAGTCCTAATAAGGAAACGTAAAGTAAACAAAATCAGTTCTTGAATTGAATCATGACCCCAAATAAAAGATAACTTATCGGATTGCGGGAGGGATGAGATGAGGGAGGATGTGAAATGTTACATGCCAAACGAATATCAAAGCCGCTTTGCTCATTTGTCACTCAATGGCGATCGCTTCACTAACCACGGCTCCAACTCAGACCATTTCGATTCAGGGCGATAGCTCGTAATAAGTGGCTGGGGGGAGAGCACGGTGTTCTATGCACTTGCTATTGAGCCGGTTTTCACAAGCCGAGTTGTTCGATTAGCCTGCCTGCCCAAAAAATTGTCTGCAGGCAAATGACTGGGCTGGAAGCTCTGCGAAGCGTGTCGCCTCCTTTAAAAGGAGTACACCAAAGCTCCACTACGACATGATTCCTAATAGGTGTGCGCCTTTGTGAGCCAAAGTCTGGAGCTAATTTTGGTCAACTCGCAACTCAAACGGTCGTGGTCAAGTGGTCATCGCAGACAATGCGGTTGATGCCAGCACACCTCGCCATCGCTTCCTTCCCTCTGCTAAATCCCGCAGTTGTTGAGAAATTAATGCCTCGCCACAACCACCACTGCCGTTGCCGCCATACACGCCGATCCTGAAGTACGGTCCAACAACTCCCATGACCGACACAGTGTGGGGAGGCCTTCAACCAGCAGTGGATCGATGAATGGCTGTATATTTTTCGATTTAAAGCTTTCGTGACTGCAGGGATTAATCTTCTTGGTTCTTTCGGGAAAGTCACGTAGAAGGGAAATAATAAAATATTATTATGTTTTATTATTTTATTATTTCCCTTCTACGTGATTTTACCTGAAAGAACCAAGATGATGGCTGTATATTATTTATTTAAACCCATGCCTCCCTTGTAAAAAGAGACTCTTGGTCCCAGTAGGGTCTTGCCTTGTTGTTAAAAACATATCACGTAATACTCTAAACACTGAGGCTGCCCCCTCCCAAAACCAATAAACACCCGACTTTCACCAGCTCTCATGTCTTCCTTGAAGCAGAGACTACAAATCTCACTATGTGTGCTCTTGAACGGTGAAATAAAAAACGCCAAATTTTAACATGTTCGTGTTACATAAGGCTTAGTGTAACACGTAGGCTTTCGCGACCAATATTATTCATAATAAAGGTTTTTGGGTTAGATCGCGTTATTATAAATGTGTCGCAACCCTCCACCACTATTCTGGCAAATCGCCCGATGATGCTGGATGTAATTACTAGCAAAACGTCGTACTCAAATTGTAAATGTTGTGGATTCACTCTTCAACACGCCGGTGGACTGACGTAGTAACTATTTGTCGTTTTTTTTTACACGTGACAAATCATTTAATGATTGGCCGTGTCGGGTGGTGGAGAGTTTCGACACGTTTATACTTAAGCGATCTAACCCAAAAAACCTTTATAATGAGTTACATAAGGCTCGTCCTCTAAAACTTTGTATGAATGTTAGAGCTGATGAGATGAGTAGGGTGGGGGTGGGTGATGGGGGGGTAAAGAGCCAGTCTGGGTCAGAGTGTTGAGAGGTTAAGAGATTGATTCAGTGAAGTGTAGAACTGTAACATTATTATTTTATATTTTCAATGGTACTGCTCTTCTCTCTGCTCCTTCTTTAGAATCATTTCCACCACCCATCCACAATTATAATTTCCATCCCATCCGTCCACTCACATCATTGACCTTGCCATGTCACGAAGCAAAAGGTATATTTGCTGGGGGGGTGATGTGTTGGGGAGGAAGCGTAGATGAGTGAGTGGATGGAAAGGCAGACGGTAATTGGGGGAAGGGGGGGGGGTGTATGGACGTTAGTGGAGAGGTTACAAAGGACAAGACAAAAAATCGATGTCTTGTAGAGTTTCACGCTTTTTAAAAATGTTTTCTGTCTCCAAGCCGGCTCTCCGAACCAGGTGTGCCAATGACCCCGTGCATCCCCATTACCATGAACTCGTGTTTAATGACGCTGAATAAACAACATTCTTCTTCAATTGGGAATTTTAAAAGCACGGCGCCCCGCTGTGCTCAGCCATGAGTAAAGCGGTCTCGACGTTGGTGGCTGAGCGACGGGCAGAGACGATGTGGTGATGGCCGCCGAGTACAGGTGATAATTATTTATGATAACGCTTGGAACACAAGCACAAAACACTCGCCTTCTGACAGCGGACAGCGCCACTCGTGACAGTGATGTTAATGGCGGCAGTGGTAGCAATGATGATGATAATGGTGGTGATGGTGATAATTGTGGGGGTGACAATGATGGTGGTGGTGATGATGATAAAGATGGTGATGATAATGGTGGCAGTGTTGGTCGTGGTCCTGATGCTAATGGTGGATCTGATAATGATGATAAAAAAAGGTGACGGTAGTGGTGATGAGGATTAAGATGGTAATGGTGGTGACAATGATTATCTCCTGTGACCAAATATCATCAGACTTTAGAAGCTAAGCAGATTTGAGCATGCATAGTGCTTGAATGAGTGACCACCATGTACACAAACAGGTTGTCACAAAGCTGTGGGGCTACATGGTGGGCAGTAAACAAAAGTCCAGCGCGTCGATGCTCGATGCATTCACAATCTGCACTGACCAGCTTGATGTACGGTTCAATAACCCCCATGACCTTCTCAATGTGGGGAGGCCCTCATCCAGCAGTGGAATGACAAAAGGGCAAAACATATGTACATGCTGTTTTTGATGATTGTAGTAGTGTAGTTTTTTTGTTGTTATTTTTTTTGTTATTTTCTTTGAACCTATCTACGTGACTTTACCGAAAGACCCAAGAATATGTGGAAGTGATGATTAAGGGTGTAACAATTCACCAACACAGGCGATTTCACTTGTCATGATTCAGGGTTACGGTTGGATTCAGTGCATTCAACGCAATACATAAAATTACTAATTTGATAGTTATTTTGTAAACAAAGCCCATGAAAAGATTGCCTTTTGTCATAGGAACATAGAATTTCCACCAATTGGAATGAGCGCCACCCGATTACTTGAATGGGTAAACACATTTTTAGGTAACTTTTGAACAACTGAGGTGTGCTTGCAAATCACACTACAACGAGCAAAAATATGAACAAACCATAACCATCATAGAAGCCAGGCTTCAAGTAAGCACATTCCTGTTCACGTACAGGCAATTTGAATTTTTCAAAACTTTTGTGATCGCC